TTGCAGCCTTTACCTCTTTGTTCTTCCGGTCAAGCGGCTTGCGAAGGTCGTTCACTCGGAGCAGGGCCTAAGTAAAAAGGGGAACAGGCGTTAGTTTCCAAACAAAAAGAAAACAGGCGTCCTAGAATTCAAATACTCAAAAATATTCTAAGTATACCTCAGCAAGGACCCCTGCAATCCCGTCTAGGTCAAGGGTGCCGACACCCCTGACCGCCTCTCTTTCAGCTGGAGGGACGACCTTGATCATAGACTTGGCCACCTCTACCAAGTCAGGCTCCTGAGGGCCGGCTGCATCAAGCATAAACAAACAGATTAGACCTAGTAAAAAAGGGAGCAAGTCTAAAATTTACAAGGACAACTTCATACTTCTAGGCGGCCCAGCTGGAGTTTTAGAAGAAGTGGCCGGCTGTTTCTCAGCCGCCACATGTTTCCTGGCAGAACCAGGAGAGCTCGCAACAGTCGTCCTCCGGGCCTTGGGGTCCGGCTGTTGGGAAGAAGAAGCTCTTGGAGCGCCCGTCTAAAAAAGAAGAAAAAAGTCAGTATATGCATAAACACAACTCCAAAAAGAGGGTGAAAGGTTCGAAGCCCACCAAGGGTGCCCCCTTGTTGGGGGAGTCGGTTGAAGCTTGTTGCATGATGGAGGCCCGCAACATGGCCGCCGCAGTCTTGGAGGCGGTAATTTTGCTCATAGCGTCCGCTTCAAAAACAAACAGCAAAGTTAATAAAAGTTATAACAAAAATGCATGGAACAGCAGAGTATTCGATAGGCCGACTACCTCTTGAGGACCGACTGTTGAGGCCACAGGCGGCTAAAAAGTACTCGTCGTAGAGCCATTTGAAGCTCGGGACGCAGTGCAGGGGTACTTGCTCTCGTACCCCTGAAGTAGAGTCGACCCTCGACTCTACTTTAAAGAGTCCTTTATCCAGGATCTCTTTCTTAGCTTTGGGGGGAACAGGCGGCATGCTGCGGCCGCCTGCAAGAAGGGGCGGATTCCTGTTCCACCTGTTGAGGCGCTTGTTCAGCTCCGTGTCTGAACTCTCAATAATGAAGAAGGTGCACTGCCAGTCCTTCCATTTGTTTGCTTTACCTCTCGTCATGAGGTAGCCCCTGTGGCTCGTCAATTGATACCAGCCGGTACCGCCTGCCTTAGGGGTCCGGCTGAGGTAGTTCATGTGGGCGAAAGCCTCGAAGCTCGGCTCCACCCCGTGCAGTTCGCACCCGGCCACATAGCCGAGTACGTTGACCCAGGAGTTCGGGGCTAACTGCCATAACCCCAACTCATACCCATCCATGATCCGCTGAACAACCGGATGTAGTGGGAAGCGCAGCCCAGCCTTGATGGCCGCCTCGTAGCAGCCAAAGCAGGCGCTATCATAACTGGTACCAGCCGGCCAGACGACTGTGTCTTCTGGATCCGGCACAAACACTAAAAAGCCGGGGCCCATTGTGTGGTTTGCGATAAAGCTCTCCACTTTCTCTTGCATGGCTGTGATCCGGCCCCGAGGTACCGTGCAGTAGTAGGGGGTATTTTGCTCTCGGTAAGAGGCGGATGGCTCCGCCCAATTGTCCCCTTCTCAACTGCGTGAGAAAGCCTCGCCTCTTGCAGGCGACTGTTTTTCTCTTCTGTGTCCAGAGAAGCATGGCCAGAAGAGCTAGACTCGGAATCGTCCTCTGACGAGTCCGAAGAGGACGACTCCTCCCCTCTCCCGGAGGGGCCCGCCTCCTCTCCTTTAAAAGGAGCAGGAGAGAATGAAGAATTGTCAACTGTGAAATGGGAAGGGGTCACTTTGATTCCTCCCTCAGAACAGCCGGCTTTCAAGCCGCTTTGTTTCACTTCCACATCTGGCGCCTGGTCAGATGTTTCACTAATCGGCACCCTGCGGGAGGAGCCGTCTGAATTTGAGATCCTGGCAGTCTTTTTTGTTCTGGCCATCATGCTCTGCATAGACACAGATACAGTCGGACTTTGTATAAAGGGCAAAGATGGGTCCGGAAAAGGGCAGGCGACACTCCTAGTCCTAGATTCAGCCGTCTTCGGTGACCGACTGATCACTAACCTAGGTCGTGTCGTGTGCTTCCGTGGTGCCATTTCAAAAAAGAATAAAATAAAGAGACAATTAAGAGTAAGAGAACCGACGGTTACCTGAACGAGTGACGTTGATGGAGTTATGAAAATCTTGTGCAGTCGGCTTGTCAGAGCAGGCGGTAGGCAGAAAGGGTCCAAAATGTCAGAGCAAGTTCAGGGGTCCGAATGTTCTCTTGCAAAGTTCTCAAGTGTGAAAATGACTGAAGTCAACACTCCTTTATATAGGCGAAGTGAGAAGGCGAAGGGTCACTTCCAGAATTCAAAATTTGGGCGGGAGAATCTCTCGGCCTTTTGCCGAGTGACACCTGTAGCAGGCCGTCGCCTGTTACAGTGCGACACCTGTCACAGGTAACACGTGACCAGTCACGTGCCACCTGTGAGGGGCAAATGATTAGGGGATTTTGCTCCCACCAACCGGAATGCGCCACGTGGGCCAATCAGGTCCTGCCAAGTGTCCCCCAGTTGGAACTGTCAAGGCTTGCCACGTGGCACGCGCTTATTCGTCCACCTTGGACCTATTATGTCATGACACGTGGCATACTCTATGCCTAAAGGAGAAACCGGCCACCCAGGCCCAACTTCCGAGGGAAGCCCAATCAGCCCTAGGTTAACCTAAACCTAGGATTGGCACGTTTCCCAAGGTTATAAATACCTCCCGTAATCCTCATTAAGGGGAGATTACAGAGATAACAGGCTGATCACGCTAAACAAAGCAAATTACCTACATTAAACACTCTCACCTAGAGAGACCCAATCACTTTAATTTCCGCATTAATTACTCCTTAATCAAGTACTAACTTGACCGTTGGAGGCGGAGCTCCCACCACCAGGAGTCTCCGTTGTTTTGCAGGTACAGGCGTCCGGTTCCAGTCTCGGAATTGTAACTCTCCCGCAGGACATCAGAAAACCCCGAAACAGAAGGTACATTTTAAAATGAGAAATTATTCAAAATTTATAATTTAATAAAAAAGAATGATAATGAAAATTTATAATTTATAATTTTATAATTTATAATTTCTTTTTAACTAGCTTGTTAATTTCCAACTCCAACATTACTAACTACTCTGTATAGCAAAGATAAAAGGAAAATTGGCTTAAAATAATACCAACTATCAACGGTGTGTGCAAAATAATAATAATAAATAAAGACAGAATATTCCTCGCAATACTTTTGCATATATAGTACAAAAGGTGGTACCGTTAATAGCAAATAGTTGAGTTCATATTATTTTGCACACACTGTTGATAATTGATATTATTTTAAGCCAATTTGGTGCATAGTTATAGAAGTCCTTAAAACAAAAAGGTCTAAGACATCTATTAACTATTACTAAACAAAACATGCTGATATCATTAAGGGACCCATGTCAACTTCTCATGAAAAAATTTCCCGTCTAAACTATTTTTGACATCATTTTTTTTTCTCTATTTATTTCCTTCTAAGTTTTAAGACTAAAAAAAAATACAATACTTCTTTCAAAATTAATTAATGAGATTATGATTATACTTTTTTCTAATAATGAATATTGACAATCATTTTAAACAAATAATAGCAATTTAATATGTGCAACGCACGGGACTAAACTGGTAATTAACCTATACTGTGGAGAGTAATATGGTACTAAGTATTATGAGCAAAAAAAAAAAAAACAAAACAAAAAAACGGTAATTTGAGTAGAATGTTATAAAAAACCGTAAAACAAAAAGTGAGTATCGGAAAAAGAATGTGAGTATAACATTTAGACACCAACAAAAAAAAAAAAAAAAAAAAGAAAAAAAGTTTATTAATAAAATGTAATTACAGAGTACTGTAATAGATTATGAATTTATGATGCTTTCTCCATTTTTTCCAATATTTTTTTTTTTATTTATTATTTTTTTTTTCCGTTTAGCGGTTGTCCTTATTAAAATTCTTGTTTGCTTTATTTCGTTTAAAAGGGAATAAAACTTTTTCTTTTACTTTCTCTTGTTCCATTACACAAGTCCATTTATATAATGGTCGTTCATTTAAGTTTGTCTCAATTTTTATTCATAAAAAAATATAAAGTTTGTCTCAGTCTATTTATTTAACTTTTTTTTGCAAAATTTTTAAGTAAACTATTTATACCTTATGAATATTATATTTCCAGTTTGATAATCATATTCCATATATATCCAAATGAAATATTTCTGCATATCTTTTATATACTTTATATGGAGTATTTTGTAATATTATTGTCAAAAAATATTTAACAAACGTGCATTGCACGGATTTTAACCTAGTTTGAGTATAGAATAAAACTATAATTATTCAATATATACTCCGTAAGTTGTTTAATTTGTAAGTTGAAAATTAAGTAAAAAGTTGATTTATTTACTATATAATTGAGTCAAACAATTGTTTAGTTATTTTTCCTTTATGTCTTATTGTTTGCACCACTTGATGACCCAAAAAAACTCTCACAAAAAGTGAGTTCATGGTAGAAACAAAAAAAGACTGAGAGAGAATATCATTATTCTTTATATACAAGTTATTTTCGTAAGTGAAGAATAGCTCAAATGGTTAGAAATTCACTCCCATTTTTAAGGGATCATGTGATCGATTCTCTTCTATGTGTTTATAACTCTCTAACCACTAAAAGCTCTATTTAATCATTTTAGTACAAGTATTATAATTAGATGATGACAACATGAATAATATAAATAGTTACATTGATTAAAGTGAGGCCGAATCTATATTCCCCTAAACAGCTCCCCACAATATAAAAATAATATTTCCCCTTTTATACAGCATAATCCTTGGGTCCACACCTCTATATATACAAATACGATCTCTTCTCTATCTATCTATAAACGTTACAAATTAACTTTATAAACTCCATTTTTTTTTTGAAAGAGCTAGAATTTTTTTTTCCACCTAAGAAATAATTTTGTTAGTAGAAATTTTTTATGTTTTTTATGATCAAGTAGTGTTGATCATTTGTTAGAGATGGATGAAAATATCATTTCGAAGGCGACGGCGAAGAAGAAGAAAGGATCAATATGGAGCATCTTCATGCATGCGGACGGTGTCGATTTAATTTTGATGTTGTTTGGTTTCATCGGAGCCGTTGGTGATGGTTGTACAATACCGTTGACATTGTTTATCACTAGTAAGTTGATGAATAATATTGGAGGGAGTTCCAATTTCAATAGCTCTGATTCTTTTACCAGCCATATTAAACAGGTTTGTTATTTATTTTATTGTTCTATCACTATCGTATTTATTACTACCTTCGTTTTTTTTCATATGTTTGGACAATGAAAATTGATTCACAAAAATATTAAAGTAGAATGAACTTTAAGAAAAAGAGGGAATATCATTTTATGCATGTAGACATGTGTAATATTAGGAGGGTCTTTATTTGAAATAGTTGAGTATTTTATTGTCAAAACACTTTATTTGTGTAAAAAAAAACACTTTTTGATTTTTTCTTTCTTTTTTTTTTAGTGAGATATTGTTGTCAAACCACTATTTGAACATACTCGTAATTAAATTTGCATGTAAATAAACAACGGAGTGAAATTAACCGGATCCCATCCATCATTTGATAAATTTTTTATTTAGTTTTTTTTAAGGTGGGGTGAAGATTCCGACCACACCTCAACCCTTACGATTTTTTTTGTCCATTTATTTAATAATATAGTCCGTATTTTTTCTTTTTTATGTAAATCAAAACATACCAATAAGTTTGACCATATAAAATAGTAAATAGGGTGAATCTTAATCAATAGAGCGTGTAAATCTTTACCCTCTTTCTACAACCCAAAAAAAATGAAAAATTTATTTTCTTAATTTTATATTGGGGTTGTGTAGTGACTAGTGATCACAAAATAATTTAATGGGTGATTGGACTGATTGTGGTGGTACATGAAATATGACTACCAACGGCAGAGAGTTGTAGACTTGTACTCTGAAATTTTATTGATAATAATTTTATTTATTTTTGGTAATAAGTCACTAAATTGAGATGTATTTCCTCAAAGGGTATAATTGTGTCTTTCATTTCATAAAGTCAAAGTATAATTAATTAAGTGTTCTATAAAAAATAATACTTTGTTGCATTAAATATTTTCGGTTGATATCATCATTTTGCCGCTTAAAGTAGCGTAATTCTAAAGAAAATGTCTTAATACGAAGTATGATTGTTATTGTCTTGTATAAATCTAAGACTAAATCCTCTGTTCCATTGTTGTTATATCACGTGTGTTCTACCTCTTTTACTGGTTGATACTACTCTATAGCACAATAATATACAATAATACACGGAGTATTAATTAATTTTATCAAAATTCAAGGCATATAAAGTTTGAGAAAATACAAGTTTATCTCTAATATGAATAGTTTATATGAAATATTTATAGTTTTACTTCTCTTTTTTTTTTTGTATGATACTCATATTTCGGAAAATGATTTTAATGTGTGTTTTTATCATTAAATTTTAGTTTTTTTTTTTTATTAATGTGAGAAACTCATGTGTTGTTGGTTTAGAAAGGTTATGTTTCAACAATTCCTAACTAAACAGAAAAATGAAGCATCACCTCTTTTTTTAGTTGACAAAGAGAAGTTGCTGTTTTCATTTTTGTTTTCAACTAAAAAGTCGTCAAAACATATAATTTATTTTTTGTTTGATGACAGAATGTAACAGTATTATTGATGATTGGAGCAGGAGCGTGGATACTTTGTTTCCTTGGTGCGTGTACACTTGTATTTCATTTTAATTTACTAGTATGATATGAAATAATGACATGCATCGACTTCTTTTTTTCTTAGGTTTCTCTTAAATCAGCACATTTGTTGACTTTAATAATTGGTTAATTACATAAATTGGCAAGCATAAGATTAATTTCTCTATTGATATAATATAAAATCAATCCTACACTCTAACCATCAACTATGTTAACGAACATTAAAGAATAATAAACCCATATTAGGAGTCTAAACGTCAGCTTAAACTTTTGGTTAAATTGGTCATTTGACATCTACAAAGTCACAAAGTATTCACTGTAATAATCGCGATCCTTCACTTCTTAATTCAGAATTCACCACGGTTTTACAAGACTATGTTTCACGAACAAAGGGATATCTTTTTTGGAACCATTTAGGTTTAATTTGATTTTGAACTCTTTGATAGATTATTGGTTGGCATGCAGAGGGATATTGTTGGACTAGGACAGCAGAAAGGCAAGCTGCAAGAATGAGATATAGATACTTAAAAGCAGTGTTGAGGCAAGATGTGAGCTACTTTGATTTGCATGTTGGAAGTACCTCCGAAGTTATTGTTAGTGTTTCTAGTGATAGCCTTACCATTCAAGACGTAATAAGTGAAAAGGTAAGCCTCCTTCTAGTAATGTTGTACGAGTACATACTTTATATGTCGCATTATTCAAAGAATTTGGCTCTTGCTACCATGTATAGAATAAAATGAGCGGTTCAGCCCGTAAGCTATAGGGAGCTAAGCCCTATCGCATATATTCCTACTAATAATGATCAAAAGGTTACACTTTTAGTACATAGTTGTAAATCGCATAAATTGTATTAGTATGGAAAATCTACTTGTCATTTAATATAGTCATTCTAGTTTCTACTTATAGTACTTACCTATAAGAAAAGAAAAATGAAAGGCATGCCATAAATTTCTTGATAATATTGTGCTTGTTGGAATGAAAAACATGTTTTTCCTGATTTTTTGTATTGTGAACATAAATAATTAGGTACCGAATTTTGTGATGAACACGTCCACTTTCTTTGGAAGCTATTTGGTGGCATTCCTATTGCTTTGGAAGCTAGCAATAGCGGGTTTGCCATTCATAGTTCTGCTCATTATACCGGGCTTGCTGTATGGAAGGATATTGATGGGGCTAGCGAGGAAGCTAACACTTGAGTACAACAAGGCAGGAAGTGTAGTAGAGCAAGCAATATCGTCTTTAAGAACAGTCTATGCCTTTGTAGGAGAGAACAAAACAATGGATAAGTTCTCAACTGCTTTGGAAGGGTCAGTGAAGTTAGGGCTCAAGCAAGGTTTGGCTAAGGGTGTCGCGATTGGTAGCAATGGTCTGAGCTTTGCTGTTTGGGCTTTCAGTACTTGGTATGGTAGTAAGCTTGTCATGTATCATGGTGCTAAAGGTGGTACCGTCTTTGCCGTTGGTGCTGCCCTCTCTATTGGAGGACTGTAAGTTCCTTTTCCCTTGATGTTATAGTTGAAATTTTCTATGTACAATCGGTTTTACCTTTGAGCTTGCATGAATTTTGTAAAAATTTATATATATGACTACTTGTTCTGTGTTGGAGAAACAGAGTTAAATTCATGTCATTCTGAAGTTTTTAAATATTCTATATAACTTTAACAACAAAGTTTATGCATATGTAATTAAGTCTTTTTTGACATGTTATTATACTCTTGTCGTAACATATTTACAGGTCTCTTGGTTCTGGTTTATCAAACGTCAAGTACTTTTCAGAAGCTGCTTCAGCTGGAGAGAAAATAATGGAAGTAATTAAGAGGGTACCGGAAATTGATTCAGAAAACATGGAAGGACTTACCTTGGACAATATTTCAGGGGAGGTCGAGTTTAAGCATGTCAACTTCTTTTACCCTTCAAGACCAGATTCAATAATATTCCGCGACTTTTCACTGCAAGTTCCTGCAGGGAAGACAGTCGCGTTAGTTGGGGGAAGTGGTTCGGGCAAATCCACTGTAGTAGCTTTGCTTCAGAGGTTCTATAACCCACTTGACGGGCAGATACTTTTAGACGGGGTGTCTATTGATAAGCTTCAACTTAAGTGGTTAAGATCACAAATGGGGTTAGTTAGCCAGGAACCTGCACTATTCGCGACTACAATTAAGGAGAACATACTTTTTGGCAAGGAAGATGCTACTATGGATGAGGTTATTGAAGCTGCAAAAGCGTCTAATGCTTACAATTTCATTAGCCAATTGCCTCTTGGTTTTGATACTCAGGTATTTGCTGCATTCCTCGAATTTAAGGACAATATACTCTTCTTGAAATTCCGACATTTTAGAAATATCGGGATAATGTTAACATAGATGTATTGATGTCTCGTACTACGTACTAATGTACTATTATAAACTAACATAGCCGTGTTTAAAATTGGCTACAACAAATCACTCATTTTTCATGTACCGTGTCTTACAGGTTGGAGAAAGGGGAGTCCAAATGTCAGGAGGACAAAAGCAGAGGATTGCAATAGCAAGAGCTACAATCAAGAAACCTCGTGTTCTTCTTCTAGATGAAGCAACAAGCGCGTTAGATTCAGAGTCTGAACGAGTTGTCCAAGAAGCCCTTGACAAGGCAGCTGTAGGACGGACTACA